GCACAGGGCCTCCTGCAGCCCAGACTGGTATCCCCACAGGCTTGGCCTCCAGCAGGCGGCCTTCCCCAGAGGGACAAGCGAACCAGCGTACCCCAGTGCCAAACTCAGGGAACCTGTGGGCACCCATGCGCCCTGCGGATCCCTGCGCTCTTGCCTCTCTGCTCTTCCCTGACCACATCTTCCCGCGGAAGCTCCCAACCACGGGCTCATTTTCATCCATAATGTGTGAGCTCCTCAAGACCCAGTCCAAAGCCTCTGTTTAAAGGAATAAAAAGTACCCTGGAAAGTGTCAAAACCTGAAGAAAATTCAAAGTATAGAAATATGGAGAGGACAGAAAGTAGACTTGATACACAAGAGTACCGATATTTTTGTCTTAAGTTTGGAAAGTTTTACGTTTTTGTCATTAGTGCCCCGTTAGGACAGTGGAACTTTACTCACTGTGCTTCCAAAACGACACCCAGAATTTGGAGGCAGATTTATTTATGTCGACAGGCACTGCTCGGGATCATTCCCAAAACATCAGACCTCAAAGACCAGGGAGGGAGGTTTTAACAGGACTGAAAGGGGAAAGGCAGAGGCAGAGTATTTGGCTGTCATTGACTGGCTCTTACAGTGTGCATCTCAGGGACCAGCTGGTTTCTAAGAACAGAAGTAACAGGCAGGTGCTGTGTAGCTGAGCTACCTCCCCGACCCTTGGAATAGAAGTCACAGGAACCGTTACCTGGGCAACTAACAAAACTGAAGTGTATCGGTGTATGTGTGTTGGGGGGGTGGCATTTCCTGCTGCAGTTGTTGGCTACATGGGTTTTGTCAATTGTGAATAGGTCCGATAGGCTTTTCACCAGGTTCATTGGAAGCTTTTCCCAGTCGCAAAGCACTTCTGTCATCATGACCTGTGCAAAGGCCATGAAATGTGCAGGGCGTGCGGTGAGAGGTGTCCGTGCTGCTTCACAGGGCTGACCTACGAGCCACAAGATTTATAAAGCTGCATTTTCCTCGTGCAAGCTTGAGGCACTCACCCATCTTGGTGTAGAGTGCATGATGGAACTTGCTTAATTCTGCTCCGTTCTTTATCACATTTGCACTGCATGGAAAATGATGCTGAGATGGCCGGGACTCCACCTAAGGACAGACTACAGTGCCCGGTGGAGAAAACGGGGCGCTCAGCCACTTCCTCTTGCACACGCTTTGGAGCTACAGAAATAGAGGATTTAAGTTACTGTACAAAAACAATTTGGGGATTGTGCCAAAGCCTGTGTTCTTGGTGTTCTTGGAATACTTCTGCACATGTGTGTTCAGGCTTGTCCAGGTCTCCACTCTGCTCTCCCTCCTAGTCTTCCTGGACCGCTGGCCTCAGCCTCCAGCTGGGCCTTCTCTGGTCTTCCACCATCTGTCTTTGGCCAACAGAAGGGTGTCCCATCACTCATAGGACGTGGATCAGACTGTAGCTCTTGTCTGTCCCTGCCCTAGGATTCTCGTTTTTCTAGGGGGAACCTGAACCCCTGTATGGAGCTCACAGGACCCTGCATATCTTGGGAGGTCCTCTGGCCTCCAGGTTTCTGGCTTTGTAGCAGCTGTATACTCTGAGGAGCCAGGGTCTTTGCACCTGCTGGTGTTGCTGCTATGGGCCTCCGCCTGCTCACAGGGACACTGCTCAAGGTCTGTCTCCCTCAGGAAGGAAACAGGAGTCTGGAGAGCGCAGGGTCTGTTGTCCCAGCCTCCTTGTGGCATACGGAGCAGTGAGAAGTACTAGTGGATGCTCACAGTATATATTTCTCAGTCGGTGCCGAGAAATATTCTTGACCACAGTTCAGCTTTAGTTTTCTACCAAGTTGATACGTAACTTGATCTCTCTCTCTGTCTCTGTCTCTCTGTCTCTCTGTCTCTCTGTCTCTGTCACTGTCTCTGTCTCTCTTTCTCTGTCTCTTTCCATTCAGTTCAGCACGTAGGTCTTGGGAAGAACCCAGTTTTCCCATTAGAGGTCTGACCAAGTCTCTACACCTTGGTCTGAGATTCCAAGGCCCAGGAGACCTCTGTACCCCAGAGTTCTCAGGAAATAGTGGGACCAATTCTGAGTCAGATGTTAGAGAAGCACATTTCCTACCTATCCCTGGAGGGCATCTCATTGCTAGCCAGAGATTTACCCTCTCAGCTCACATCCTCACCATGGATGAGTCAGGCTAGCTAATGACTGGATGGAAAGTACTTGTGTTCTGGAGGAGAGGAGGTGGAATATGACCAGGTGAACAGCCTAGCCCCACAGAGTGAGCAAGCTTGGGTTGGGCAAGCACAAACCTCCCTGGGGGTCCTGAGAAAGTCAGACAAGACGTTATCTTATTATCTACTGCTTTTTATTTATTTTTCACCTGTATTACATTTTTGTACATTTGACACAATACATATAAGATGAAGGGGACCCAGACTCGCAGATTCTAGGCCGGTGTTAGGGACCTTAAAGCTCATTGTGTAGTCTCACTGGCCCCACGTGCTTCATGGCCCACAGCTGCTTCCCTCTGTCTCTTGGTGCTTCTCCACCCCTCAGTCCTGCAGGCCACCCTGGTGTGTCCCGGGTATGGTCCAGAGATGCCATCTCAGCTTATGTCAAGATGACACACCCTCTTCCTCTGTCATTAGTCGTTGCTTCTAGACCTGTGACTTCTGTACCTGTCCAAGTCTGAAATAAGTCAGAGTCTCCATCCTCCTGGCAAATGACACTAGGACCTTAGGAGTCTGAGACCCCAGCTCTGGAGAAAGGGTCTTGTCTGATTCCTCACCAGAGGGGGGCATGAATACTTGATGAGCATGTGGGACACTGGGCAGAACCTCCTGCCACAGGTGTACCCTCTGGCATCCTCGCAATGGCTCACCAAGCACGTGCGTCCTCAGAGCGCGAGGCAGAGCCTGCCGGAAGTTAGCACTGTGCCTTCCTGAGCAGAAATATTTTTCCTTTTTTCCATTGCTTTACTCAAAATGAAGTTCAGGGTCTTTGTAAATGAAACTTAAAAGTCCTCTTTTTTGGACTGAAGGACTTCTCAACTGTGAAATAAAAATCTTTTGCAGAGACACCTGTGTATCACAGGCATGTGTTTTATGCAGTAACTAAAAATAATACTCAGGCAAGACCAACTTGATGTTTCATATTTCAGAAGTAGTTCACACCTACAGGATAAATCCCCTTTACTGCATTAAGGAGTCTGAAAGTTCTGTATGCCACAGTCTGGTTTTTCATAATGAATGCGTATTATTTTCTAATGAAGGATACCATGTTGCTTTCCCTCATTTGGGGAGACATGATTTAATTAGCAGTGCAAACCAACCTGGATGGACCCACAGTCAGTCTGCCTCATCGCACAGCTGTGAGCTGAAGCCTTTCTTGGTGCTGCTCAGTACAGAGAATTAGCTAGTAAGTGATCCTTCTCCCAGACGGTTGTGCCTTTCCTCGCCTACTCTGTTAAACTCTCAGGGCTAATGGGGCTGGGAACCCATCGGGAGCTGTTCCTATTGCACCTGTCACCTGCCTAGAGCTTCCTCCCTTTGGTCCCTGGGCTCCAGGCTGGTGCTCTGGGGCGCTTTACCCTCCCTGCTGCTTTCCTGTCTCTGATGGTCGGCCCTGCACTGGCCATATCTAAGCTGTCACTTGGCCTCAAGAGGTTTCCAAGAGGTTTCCGAAAGGTTTCTGACCTAGCACATCTTTCTGCAGTGAATGTGCAGATCTTCTTGGCTTGCGCTTGCTGGGAGGAGTTTGGAGATGTTGAGGCTCTTCAGAGGGACCAGCTAAGGATTTCCTTGTTAGAACCCTGAGTCTAATTTAGCAAAGGTTAGCTTCTTAGCACCCACATGGTCTGAACTTCGGGCAAGTGTCCTGATGCTAGTGGGGTCTCCAAGGCTTAGACAACCTTCTAAGCTTGTCTAAGCAGAGCCTTGGGATCCTCTCTGAGGAGGAGCACCCCTTGAAGACACCTTGAAGACAGGCAGGGCCCAGTGGCAGTACGCAGTCCCTGCTGGCCCAGAAACTGCTGTTCCTCTCCTCTTTTTTGTGTGTGTCTTTCTTCTCTTTCTACCAAACACTTCTAAGGTTTTCTTTGTTTTTAGACAGAACACAAACAATGAAAAGCTCAATTTATTATCACTGCCTTGAAAACTTATATCTGCACAGACTAGAAGAAAAAAGAAATCACTGCCTGAGGGTCTCCACTTCCTGGTAGCTGCTCAGATGGAAGCCAGTGTCCAGGCCACCCTGGACCAAGGGCAGGCTGAGGGCGGTGGTGTCAGCGCTGTTCCCTGAGGGCCTGAGCAGTGAGGGTGTGGTGGGGTCCTGCGGAGGGGAAGCGCCCCAAAGTGGGCTAGTGTCTCCCAGTTTACCCTGAATTTGGGGTGGGGAGATACTCTCAAACGTGGGCACCAGGGAATCCCAACTGGGGGCAAAAGGGAGGGAAGAGGCTGCTCATTTAGCAGCACCTTCCTTGTAAAGCATGCTGTGGAATGTTAAGCTTCAGAGAAATTGTATTGCTCACCTGCTTCTGGAGCCTGAGGGCCACAGTTCTTCAGCTCTAAGCTATGAGACAGAGCTGCCTCCCACCTCCTGTAGTTCTGGGAGGGAACCAGGGCATGGCCTGTCAGCCCCTGGGCTCAGCCCACCTGGGACGGAGCTCCAGAGGGCCACTTCCAGTGAGACCCTGATGTGTCTCCTAACACTGGTGCCTCAGGGGTAGCTGGAAGTGCTACTCGGCACTGCTGCTGTGATCCATGAGACGCTACTACCTGGGACTCTTCGTTCTACCCAGTGACTCAGTGAGTGTTAGATGCTGTGCTTCATCACAGCTGTGATTCCAAAATCAATGTCTGCCTTTGGCAGTGAGCCTAGATGTGTTGGTACCGTTCGTTAATATTGAGGCATCCCAGCACACTAACTTCCAAATACTAAAACATCTTTTTCCGAATATAGAGAATAATACCTTGTGATTTGTGTGAACTATGAAAAGTTGTATATTTTTTCCAGGTTGTCCTGGCGCCAAAAAGCATGAGTTTCTGACAAGTGTGTTGGATGCGCTGTCCACGGACATGGTTCACGCCGTCTCTGACCCTTCCTCGGCATCTGGCAGGTAGGCTGCTCTCAGCTGCAAGAAGCCCAGGAAGCACAGGGGATCTGGGAAGTTCAGTCAGCCTAAGAATTAGATATCTGAGACCAGGGAGCTTACTTGAATGTGACAGAGCTGGAGGCAAAGAGCTCTCTCCAAGACCTCCAGTGGAATTGCCAGAGAATCTCAAGCCTCAGATGTTCCCCCTCATAAGTAGCAATCATTTGTTTATGTATTAAAAGGCATTTTCTGGTAGACATCTTAACATTTCATCTCCTTAACACTTTGGTCTTATATCCTTTGGCCCCTGTGCCCTTGATTGACTCTTCTATCTACAATGGTCTAAAGCTTCAGGCCTCCTTAGCAAGAGACCTTCATCTAGTTGTGTTTGCTAAAGAAGACTTGAGATAAAGAGACAATGCTAGTGAAAAATGCCTCTACAGACTAAAAAATTCAGTAAGGTAAACATCATCTAGATCTCAACTTTTCATACACATTTTTGGAAAGATGCTTCCTACATGAAAAGTGAAATTGAAAGCGGTAAGTGAGCTGCCATCTGAGAAGCAACTCTGAACACTGGGAAATGAGCCGGTGGTGTCAGCGTGCTGTGTCCCTGTGACCCACACACACCTCACTCACTTCTGAGGGGCAGAATTCTCCAAACAGGGCAACGTTGGCTCAGGACTGGCGGGGAAGGGCAAAGAGGGCTGAACGCACGCTCTTCACGGTGGAGGAAAGATCCAGTTACTGGTTGGTACAACTTCAAGTTCTGACCCAATGCCAGCCACTTTAGAGAGATTTTACCAAATCATTTCTTACACTGTCCAACTTTATTTGTGATCTAAGAGAAACTATCTAGTTACAGCTTCAAATTTTTTTCCATTTACATCTTTCAATATACATGCTTTTATGTGTATCCCACGTACCTGTGCGGAAGTGGTCACGTGTAAAGGCAGAAACCCTCGGCTCTGGGTCACAGGTGTGTGGCGTTCAGGACAGGGGATTTTGTTCTTAAGAAGGTGGCCAAGTGCTCAGCCATTGTGCATGCAGCACAATGCAGCATTTGGGATCCTGAAACCCACAGGAAAACCTTCCGCTCAGCCACTTCCTTAGCTAGGTGCTAGTGTCTCTCTGTGGACACTGGGCAGCAGGGCGGGGCTCTCAGGGAGGCAGCTGCAGCTTTTCTAGGTCCTGACCCAGTCCTACCTCTCCAGGCTTTCGGAACCGGACCCCAGCCACACCCTGGAGGAGAGGGTGGTGCACTGGTACTTCAGATTGCTTGACAAAAACAGCAGTGGAGACATCGGCAAGAAGGAAATCAAACCCTTCAAGAGATTTCTCCGGAAGAAATCCAAGCCCAAAAAATGTGTGAAGAAATTTGTGGAGTACTGCGATGCCAACAGTGATCACTCCCTGTCTGTGCGTGAGCTGATGGGCTGCCTGGGGGTGGCGCAGGAGGAGGGCGCGGCGAGCACCAGGAAGCGCCACAGTAAGCACCTCTCCTCCTGTTTACCTTCTGCTCTTGGTGTCCGTGTGGTTTTCTTCCCAGGTTTCAGAGATGCCTTACATCTGCGGGTCCGGGAGAAATGAGACCTATCCTTCGATTGTTGGCCTTTGATTACAGATGGCCCTTAGGGTTAACAGTAGGCCATCAGGGACTGATACCTGATATCTCAGTTACTTTTCTCATTGCTGAGACAAAATGCCCAACACCCAAAGTTAATGGCAGAAAGGTTTATTTAGCTTACAGTTTGTAGAGGCTTTAGTCCATACTTGGCTGAATCCAAGGCTGGGTGGCACATGGCGGAGGGCAACAGTTCATGGTGGTGCAAGACAGCAAAAGCAACAAGAGACAGAAAAAGGGGACAAAGCTTCTTTCTGTCCCTTGTATTGCATGTAGGCTACCCCCCTAGGGCAGGTGTAGCACTAATACCCTTAATCCCAGCGTTGTACTACGAATCAATCACACACTCCAGATTCAGCCACCTCCAAAAAAGTCCTATGACCGCATGAGGCTTTGCAGGGACATCTAGACACAGACCATAACACCCGGTCAGGAGCACATGGTGTTGAGAGGGCAGAAGCCAAGCATGGCTCTGAAGCCAGGCCTTTGGGTGCTCCATTTCCAGTGGTCAACTTCCCAGACATGTTTTGCTTCTGATTCTGGAAACTGTTGGAAATAAGTCACCAACTGTATCATGGACTCCAGCTAGTCATCAGCAGTAAATAATTCCTGTCATCCAGACCAGCTGTACCAGTGGCTTTGACTATTGTCCTGTGTGAACCTGGCCCACTAGCCAGTGTTCCTGTGCCCTCTTGCGTGTGAACCTCCTCCGAGCTGAGCTGGACTGTGGCTCCTGAGAGGTCCCAAAGATGCGCTGATGTCGGCCCCATTAGTGCCCCTGTCCCTAGAACTGCTGAGACAGTCACTCAACATTATGCAAACAAATTAGTTGGGGCTGAACTCTGTGGCCATGAAGCAATCCTTGCCAGTCTGCCCGTGAGAAGTCAGTTCTGCAGAGATGGAGCCTCACTGTGCAGTTTGTTATCTGAGGTCAATTCGTACCATCCTGTCCACTTGGGACAGAGCTGATGGCAGTGGGAACTGTGTACTCCTCTCACAGGGAAGAGGGGAGCATGCAGTAGACACAGACCATCTCTCCTGATGGCACTGTCCAGGAGTAGGAATGTTTAAACTACTGTAGAGTGTTGAGTTGGCCCCATGAGGCCCCTGTCACTAGACAAATGTGTCTGCACTTTATTGTCTTGTTTGTAAACAGAAAAGATAAATCTGATCCCCATCTTCCTCTGTTAACCCAAATGAGCTGTTATTTGTAGAAATTGGAAATTGGGTCAGAAAAATGAACAGTGGGCATCTGAATACACATTGAGTTGATATTCCAAATTTTTCATTTCCCTTGTAGGATTTTCCAGACTTTTCTCCTACCTTTTTATTTCTCAATTTTATGATCAGTAATTTTTTTTCCCATCCTGTATTACTTGAAATACTTGAAAGTCAGCGAAACCTAAGTATTCAGGAACAGATAAGTTATGACATAGAAAGTATCCAAATTATTATCAATTTCTTTTGTGTTCTGTATTTTTGCTAATTATCCAAAAATGCAGATTTTACTCTAAAATCTGAGAAATGTAGTGAAGGATGTATACAACTTTTATTCTGTTTCCAAAACTATTTCTACACACACATCTACATGTACATGCCCTTGGACTTTGTAAAATGGAATCACAATATGATTTCTAAGTGAATCACACTGATTTAGCATTACAAAATGTCTGCTTTTAAATGACTGCAATTGAGACCCACTTCAAAATTGGATTTAAACTTTGACATTTATAATATCAATGCAAGATAAATCATTATCTGAAAATAAGAAATTATAAAGCCAAGAAAGGCTCTGTTTATGAAAATTTCAGAAAAAACTTCAGAAGGGATTACAACACAGTTTAATGGTTCTCCAAGATAACCACTGTGCAGAGCCCGAGCAATTAGGAAATATTCATTTCTGACCAAAGTCTTTTCTAACATTTCAGAATGTTAACTTTGTCTCACTATAACTTATCTCTAATCTACTACGACTTCTAATTAGTAGAGAGATTGACAATGACAGTCAAGCAACAGAAAACCAGGTGTTGCTGAATGGACAAGTTGGCTTAGAATACATCTAAAGTATCACTCTAGGAGTGTGGAAATTTGAATCTTTGGCCTAAGTTTCCTTCTCAAAAGTACTCTGATGCTTATAGCGTTAACACCCATGTGAAAAATGCTATTGTTTAATAATTTTGCGGCTCACGAAATACAATGAGTTCGCCGTTTCACATTGCATTTCAACTTCCCTAAATAGAAAGAGAAGTGAGTTGGGGCTGGGGATTTAGCTCAGCGGCAAAAAGCGCCTGCCTGGCAAGCGCAAGGTCATGAGTTCGGTTCCCGGTACCGGAGAAAAAAAACAAAAAAAAAAAAAAAAAAGAAAGAGAAGTGAGTTTATAACAGACAAATCGCAGTTTTTGCTCAGTAGATTTTTATTACATAGCTACACATCAGCAGTCAGTGGAAGAGCTGGGACACCCCGGGCTGTCTTCCACCTTCTGCCCGTGGTCGGGGTACTGCTGAAGTGACAGTCGGGAAAACAGATGCCCATGGTCCAGTGTAGCAGCAGGACATGAGCTAAACGAGACCCAGGCCAGAACCAAGGGCGGCAGGGTGCTGAGGAAGGGGGCAAGGGACACAGAGGGACATTCTGGTCAGCGTGAGCAGGTGTAGATGAGCTGGAAGGGATGGGGGCATATGTGGGTAGGTACAGAGTGGGTGCCCAGCAAGCCTGAGGAAGGCACCAAAGTGGACAGAACCCAGGAGACCCTGGCCAAGTCCCTGGATGAGAGGCCGTGGAAGGCTTGGTAGGAAGGACTTGTGCAGAAGTGCTTTCAAGGGGTCCCTGGGCACCTTGTGGGCACAGTCTAGACAGGAAGGGCTGACGGGGGGAGGGAGGGGTTTGCAGGGTCTCGGAGAGCGGGGGCAATTTGCACAGTGGGGCGGGGGGTGGGTTGGAGAGCTTGAGGGCAGCAGCGTATGTGCTGGTGGTAACAAGAGCAAGTGGCACAGCAGGGGCAGTAATGCCAAGAGTTTGCCCTGAGCAGTTCATAGCCAGAAACCCTGTCCTAGAAACGGAAGAGCAGAGACAGAAATTTTCAGAGGGAAGATAGAGAGCCCAGAGCAGTGGCAAATATTGTAATCCTAGCACTCTAGGAGGCTGAGGCAGGAGGATCACAAGTATAAGCTCAGCCTGGGCAACCAGGGAGATCCCGTCTCAAAAATACTGAATGAATAAAATAAGATAAAAATGTTAGAAGGGCTGCAGATGTAGCTCAGTGTGAAGGTGCTGGGTTCAATCTCCAGTATAATATCAATCAATCCGTCATCAGTGGTACCATCCAGTTTGTCCTGTCCCCTTGGGGTGACTATGAAGAACCCAAAGGCAGAGAGTGCTGCTGAAGCTGAGGATCTGGTCTCAGCCATGCCCTGGTGGCGTGTGCACTCGGGGACATCAGGAGGAGCTCCTACTGAGAGCCCGGGTGTGGGAGAAGGGAGTGAGACCCAAGCTACCCAAGGTCAAGGAGGAAGGAGGAAGGTGGCCGCCCGTGGGTCAGAGAGGACTGGAGGCGTGAGGAGTATTCTGGAAGCCTACAAGACAGGGCAGCTAGCCAGCGGGTGGGAGAGGAAGAGCACGGAGCAAAGGCCAAGTGCCCAGGAAGCAGCAGAGGCGGGAGGCCGCCCTGAGCAGTCTCCACGGGGGAGGGGTGGACGTGCAGATTGAGAAAGGACACAGAGATCCCCAGATGCTCCCACAGAGCAAACAGCACATCTCCTCAGCTTCAATTTTACTGGAAAATTTGGGGAAAACCACTCAGAGTCAAACATGCTAGTTATTCCTAATTTTAATATAAAAAAGAATGTGTGTGGGCATGCAGCTCAAGGCTTCTGTTGTCGCAGAATAGAATCCATGTTCCTTGGGAGCCTGTGGAAGGTCCTGGAAGATCGTTCCCTGAATAGTGGATTGACCCTCAGAATAGGGACAAAATGAAACAGCCTTGTAAAATGGACTAGAGCTCTTGTATTGTTCAATAATGTTTGCACAGTGACTTTATTATCCACTACTCCTAAGTGTAAGCAGAGAGATGTACGTGTGTATTTAATGTGAACAAGTCTGCAGTAGATGACACCCTCCTCAAGTGGCATGGGCCCCTTTCTGGAATCATAGTGTATCTGTCATTAAATAAAGAGGGTTTGATTTGTAATAATGTCTTCTTCCCCTCCAGCTCCCAGAGGCAATGCCGAAGGCACTGCTAATAGACAGGTGAGTGTATTTCTGTTTTAGCTTGGATGACTAGCTGGTTTCCTTGAAGGCAGCATGGATTCAGAGTGATGTGGATTTGGAGGGGACGGTACATTCCAGGAGAGGAAAGGGTACGAGAGGCGGCCTGGCCAGCTGCCCCGGAACCCTAATACTGCCCTGCCCAAGCCTATCCATTATGTCCAAACTGATGAACCATTAATGCAAAGATTTTGCTTCATTTGTTGATGATTTCATTATTTTAAGAAGAATTCCTAAATCTGCTTGTATTGTAGAAGTCGCTGTTCTGATTTCTTACATCTTAAGAAGGTGGGGGAACAGGAGACACTTTGGGGGACGCATGAACACCCGCTCCTTCTAGTGCTGTGAATAAGACGGGAGCTCAACTCCCGCAGCTGTTTCTCTTCAGGCTGAGTGTTGATAAACACACGTTCGTGTTTCTGAGTCCACATCTCTATACGTGCAATTAGAGGACACAATTGTGGTATCTCTCCCCAGGTCCCATGCCAAGGCCTAAATGAGAACGTTTTCCAGGAGACAAACATGAGTAGATTCATTTTCCCTCCCCCAGAGCCGGGCAAAAGCTTCCTTTCTTTCTGACCTGGAGTCAATTTGTTATTTATTTTGTCTGCACCTGTTTGATGTCAGGCCTGCGTTCCCTAAGGCAGCCCCTGTTTTTGTTGTGGGTTTTAAGTGGGGACCTCCAACACATACACCTTGGATGTAATTTAAAACCATTTTATTTGGGAAAGATGTGTGATTCATTTTCCTTTGTTCAGCAAATGTTTATGGTTTTAACTTTTTAAATCCCACTGCAAATCACTTACACTTGAGAACGCAGCTGGCCTGAAAGCAATTACCAGCTGTGACCAAAGACTTCCCAAGGGTTGTTTTCGTTAGATAATGGCAATTATGGCACACGTGTGCTCCACTCAATTTTAAATAAACTCCGCAGCCCCTTCCGGAGGGAGAGCTGAGAGCGGCCTCTGCAGCTTCTCCTGAGTGCCGGGGTGCAGCAGCAGCCCCAGCAGTGAACATCCGAGGGACTCTTAACCGTGGTGACTGCCGCGACTACTGTCCCTGGAGGACAGGCTTCAGCTTGCTGGCAGCGGCAGAACTGAGGACCTAAGTGTGCTCTGAAAAGTAAAACAGCCCGTCACCAGGCACCATCGCGTTGTGCGTCACAGGTTCATACGTAGTCAGAAGTGATCTGTCCTCCTTGGCCCCTACCCAGAAGGGTTTGGAGCTGTGCAGTCAAGCAGATCTTGAGACGGGATCTAACCATCTTTAATAGCCGGTGGGCTATCTTTACCCATAACCGACCACAGCAAAACTTTCACTTAGAGAGGAGCTACAGCGTCTCGCTCTAAACCTCCTCAGTCTTTATTAAGGGAAATGAAAGCCAACCCAGAAATGGCCTAAATTTTGAAGTTGAATTATTTTGAATAATAAGACAGAAGAGTGGGTCCACTTACTGTGTAGCAAGGGACGCACTTGGAAAACTAAGTCTAGGAAATTGCATGTTGCTTTCCCTTTCCATTTTAAATTGCTTTTAATTGGAAGTTGGGGTTGTGAATTATACTGAGAGATCAATAATATAGTAAACACACTTTTCATGTTGCATTTGCTCTTAGGTAAAGCAGTGCGTGGGAAAGATGAAAAGGAGAATTAAAAAATCAACTGTGCCTTTTTCAAATTTGAAGCATAAATTAGATTACAAAACCAGTTCAGTGTAATGAATTCCAGGTTGTAGGAGATGCTGCGGAACTGTTAATGTATAGTGAATTTACAGTACTTGAAGGAAATGCCCATTTTATCAATTGACGCATTTTCCTGGTATTTTTAATTATTTCAAGGGGGAAAGTGTGAAGAATGTTTTCATTAATCCTTACAGCTAAGACGCGCTTTCCTTTCTTATAGGCTTTTTTTTTTTTTCTGATTTTTCTCCGGTACCAGGAACTGAACTCATGACCTTGCGCTTGCCAGGCAGGCGCTTTGCCGCTGAGCTAAATCCCCAGCCCCTCTTATAGGCTTTTAAATACTGCTTTTCCTCTGGTATCATTTCCAGAAGCTGGGGCAGACCTCGCAGGTGGGTGGCGTAAACTTCCTAACCTGAAGTCTCTTTGTCTTGTTTTTCAGCCCAGGAAGCAAGGATGAACCGCTCACATACCCAAGGCAGTTCCTAGACATGTGGGAATCTCCCTCACCAAAGAGCAATTAAAAACCAAAACCAAAAACATATAGTATTTGCACTTTGTACTTTAAATGTAAATTCACTTTGTAGAGATGAGATATTTAAACAGACTGTTTTAATCTGTGAAAATGGAAGGCTGGCTTCAGAAAATTAATCACATACAATGTATGTGCCCTCTCTCGACCTTTGAAAGCTGTGCTGGTGGAGACGCCTTTGAGTGCCTTTGAGCTGCCCTTCCGCCCGACATCGCGGCCGCAGACACCGTCTCCTTCGGGAGGGAGCGGCTCCGCCCTCGGCCCCGACCCCGCGTTGTCTGTCCGCCCGCCCAGCTGCCGTGACTCCTGTAATGTCCATCTGTACCGTGCTGCGCTCACTGTGCACAGGTTGGCCTGTTTCTTGGGATTTTGTGTTTGCTTTGTTTGGCTTCTCAGAGATCTCTCTCACACCAAGAATCATGCGACCACTAACTCCCAGCATTTTCGGGCAGGCAGTGCCCCGGTTGGAAAGAGCATTTCATCTACTTTGTGTGTCCACTTCAAGCTTCTTAAGTCTGGCCTTGGGCTCCATTAATCATGCCATTAGATTTCCAGAGTGGCTCCCGCAGGGGGCCCGCACCCTAAGGGACTCCAACTGCGGACAGTGAGTCTGAGTACCCCGCTGCCCGAGAGGCCAGGGCTGGTTTAGTCTGGTGGGCTCACCACCTGGCCACTGCCTCTCTCTCCACATGGCTGTCCCACCCCGCTGTGGCCTACACCAACCCACTGAAAGGGAAAACTGTCCCCCGAATAAATTGGCGTCTCCCTAGAGAAAGCAGCAGCTGCCCAGACTGTGCTGGGGGTGTGACTTGGCACAAGGAGGACCGCTCCGCTTCCTGTAGCTCCAGACTTCAGGGACAAGAGGACTTTGCCTGCGGTGGGGTTCGTCTGAAGGGGCCTGTGAGAGGAGTGTTGGGGGCCGGATGCTCTCACTGAGCGGCAGGACTGAGGTTCGCATGCGCTCGTCGGCCCTGTAGAGCACTGGGAGGATGGACCAGAACTCGGCGCTAGAGCGGAGTGACTATCAGCGTAAACTTTTGCTTGGAAAAATCTTCGTGGCCTCCAGTCTCCCAACAGTGTCACGTGTGTGATGTCTGTGGATTTTTGTGAAGATATTTCTTGAGGCTTTGTGCTTATTCAGACTGTGCAAAGGTAAAAACCAAGACTTTGGAGCCCTAAGCCAGCTACATGTCAATGCTGTCCAAGAAATAGTTACAATCTTAAATGTTTTGGATAGTCTTTTATATTTCTAAACTTTGAATTTAATCATTTTTCTTAGATTAAAATAAAGTATGCTATCAAAACTGTATTTAGTCTTTTTTTTCAGCGGGGTTCACAGTTTTATGATCGTCTCATTGTAAATGTGTCCACTGCAGGGAGGTAAAGGCAGGGACCCTGGGCTGAAGCAAGTCTGAGTCATAGCTCCGCCTGTGAAGGCTGTGTGATTTCTGATGAATCTTTAGGCCTATTTGGACCTCGGTTTCCTCCTCTGCAGAGCAGGGGTACAGGTGGGTGCCTCCTGGGGCAGATCATGAGTTAACATGTGGCTGCTGAGAGCCTGGCCCAGGGACTTGCTCTTGCCAGGTGAGGGGGTCACCCAGGAATGGCTGGGTGGCTGAGCCCTTCTCTTGGTTTCTCCTGTGTTGCTGGGTGCTTCGATGCAGGACAGAGGAGTGAAAAAGCTCTTGTTTTAGTAAATGCGTTTCACTAAGTTACATAACTAAGGACCTTGAGAGTGACATTGAACTAGTCCAATCCCCCAGCCTCTACGCTTCATCCCATCCTTGGCTTGGTCCTTCTTGACTTACCCTGGGACCCCTGCAGCAGCTTTTTAAGCATTCGTGCCTCCTCCAGGATTCTCTACTCCCTCCTAGTCCATCTCCTCCCACATCCACAGCGCTCCCTCAGCTCGGGAAAGGATGATCTTCATACACTCCGTCACAGCACTGGTGATGACAACGGTGCAGGGAAGCCTTTCCAGGAGCCAAGGGAACTAGGAGGAAGATGGCTGCCAGCAAGCACCGCTCGGAAAGGTGGAGCTTACTGATCTTGAAGCAAGTCAGGGCAGTATCCAGGAGGTTGAGGAGCAGGCAAGAGGCAGGGAGCAGGAAGATCGGTGAGGAGGAAGTGGCAGGCCATCACAGGTCCCACGTGAAGAGTATTAAGACTGCAATCTGGAGCAGAAGTCTGTTTCCCTGACTCCTCAGAGCAGGGCTGTCTGTGCTGGACGCCTCTCTCCCGCATGTCCCACCCCTTCTCCTACTTGCGGAGGCTCCTGCACCCTCCTCAAGTGCCTGTATGTGGGAGGGTTTTAGACACTCTGAGCAGCTCATAAATCATACTCACAAAGGTCACACCTGGACTTTTGTTTACCTTTTGGAGGTGAAAGGTGTCAAAGATTTTAGAATTGATGTATAGAAGTGACTGATGTGATCATAAAGTGTCAAGGGGAAGACCAAATAAAACCAAGCAACAAAGCTAGTCCAGAAAAATAGTAAGCATTTACACAAGGCTGAGTTCAGGGGACTGTGGCGATTGTGGTGGTGTGGTGACAGGGATGGTGTGATGGTGATGCTAGTGGCAACGGATGACAAGGATGGGATGAGTGATACAGAGACTGATGATGTGGATGGTGGTCATGGTGGTGTTCGTGATGGTGATGAAGACGGTGAAGATGGTGATGGTGATTATGATGGTGTTGGTGATGGTGTTGGTGTTGGTGATGGTGATGGTAATGAGGAGGCTAGTGGTCATGGTGAAGAGGAAGATGGCTTTCTCTCAAATACCACACTCCATTACATAGGCCAAAATTTGAAAATCACTTGGCTTATTAGTCATGTAGCCATTTTTAGTATTTCTTCAGTCGAGAAGATTGTCTTCCATATCTTCTATTGTAATGTTTTAGACAAGTCACCCCAAAGCTTGCTGACAACAAGACCTGTTTATATTTGTTCTTGGCCATGTGTGTTGTCTAAGTTGTCCACTATTCTGGGGTCCGGGCCCTGGCCCTGGCATAACCGGTCATTGACCGATGCCATTATGAGCACAAAGCTATGTGTCGGAGCTGTCTGCATCACATGATTTTGAATCTCACCTTTAGGAGTATATGAAGGACAAGGAAACTTCAGTACAAACTCCTGAACAATGAACACCGGTCTAAAAAAAGTACAGGTTTTAACTATTTACAAAGGAAAAGCCCTAAAGGCAGAAATAAGAGAATGCTATTCTTAGCCCTCTATTTGTTAAGAATTGACTTCACTTGTAAGACACAGAAATCAGAAAACCAAACCTCAGTGGCTGGGGCATACAGAGGTATTTTTCTCAGTTGGCCAGAAGACAGGCAGCACATAGCCCATAGGGATCCCCCCAAGGCTTCGGATCGGTCTGCGTCTTCAGGAGGAGACCAACCAGCATGGCTCAGAGGTGTGCTGTGTTTCATGTCTCATAAGCCCACAGGACCAAGGGCAGAGGGCAGAGCCAAAGGCTGAGAAGAATGCATGTTATGCTTTTTAGCTTTCCCAAGCCCCAGTGAATAGAATTCTACTAAGTATTGTTGGCAACCAGTACCTCTTCTTAGCACCCAGTCATTAGCTGCTCAGGACAAGGGCAGCTTTGTAAGTCGGCAGAAGGGAAGAGGAATGCTGGACAGGCAGCAGCAATGTCACCACGGTCATCCTCTCGTGTGTAATGACACAGCTGACGCCTCCTGTGTTTTATTCTACCTTATATATTTTATGTGAAATAAATTACTTCTTTTGTATTTCCTGTGGGCATCTGACAGCTTACATAGAGTTGACAAAGTGTACAAGTTAATTTAATTCATGTGTGTTACATGGCAAAAAGATTTTATGCATCCTAATAATTCTTTAACTGCAGAACATAGATTTTTTTTTTTTTTTTTTTTTTTTGGTTTTTCTCCGGTACCGGGAACCGAACTCACGACCTTGTGCTTGCCAGGCAGGTGCTTTTGCCACTGAGCTAAATCCCCAGCCCCTAGAACATAGATTTTTGTTTCCTTAAGTTAACGTTGAAGTTATACTCAGCAAATAGATTCTTTGCTGTGGAAGATGGAATTTATATATTCCCCACCAGCTTGGTTTGATAATGCCTTTTCAGTCTATGTGGTTATTAGCTAAGAGCAGAAATGGCTTTTATTTTTTCTGAAGACCTGAAAGTATACTCTGAATATTTTAGTTCAAACTTATATATTCATGATTCTCTAAATATTATAATAGTTAGATTTCAGTATTTAAAATAAGTGAGACCGTTGACTTTCCCATTTAAGAAGTTGGCCTTCTAATTTGACAAATAATTTTATTACCTGAGCTCTGTCATGGCAAAAGAAATGACCTTCTGATATCACGTGACCCCAGTGACCTAAGGCTCTTCGACCAGCTGTCACTTTCTAAGGCCTCCAGGATCCAAGAGTGCCACCCTGAGAACCACTCTTTTACCACATGAGCCTTTGGGGAAACGTTTGATATCCAAATCACAGGAAAGATTACATGATGTCCTGTCATTGGTTCCCATTATTAAGACATGTCCCAGAGGAGGGAACAGAACAGCAGCAATACAAGAAGAGTCCTGAAGGCTCTCCAGGGGACAGCTGCTCTCCTGGCAGGAGGAGAAATCACAGGTGGCTTAGTGCTGAGAATCCTGTCATCCAGCATGTGGATATGTCACTTTCTTGTTGTCATATCTTTGTCTTTGCATTGCTCTGACATCAGAAAATTTTCCTCATTTCTCAGCATTGCATTATTCTCTTACCAAATTCTGAACAATAGCATCACTTGACGTTCTCCAAACAAATTGTTCCTATAACTTTTTAATCTGTCTTTGTCCCAGCTGCTGGCACTTGATGGCTCAGCAGAGCTGATTCACTGTGCTCCACGGGGTTGGGAGAACAGCTTTGCTTGCGGGTTTTGATATGAATAAGCAAATCTATCTCATCATTTCTTCCTTAATCGTGAGAAACCATGCATTAGCATATTTGTAGAGGACACACTTCTAGATACCATGGATTATAATTGTGATGAACATTCATTATGCCATCAAATGAGCTCTTAGGGGCCACCACTGCATAACCGTAGCTCCACCAAGGGACTGTGTATACCCCACACCCTCCAACAAAGATCTTCATGTGATTAGGTTCCCATCTCCCTCTGAATAAGTCTAGTTTCAGTCTTAGTTACATCTCTTATTTCATAAAACCGCTCTTCTGTTTTATATATTTTGTATCCTGGCTGTGATGTGCACATGCCATTTAATAATTTTGCTGTGGGCATGCCATTTTTCATGGTCTTGAGACTTCCATGCCTGAAAGAAATGTAGAACTTATCTCTGCTAAATGTTGAGCATGCACAGGCTTTCCAGTGCCTGCTTCTTTGCAGAGTATGGCTTGGAGGCTGCATTTGGTCTAGCTGATGAAATGCAGATTGACTATGAAAAGCAAAATCATTCATTTAAGCAGAACTTGGAAAGGAAGACCTTTTAACGATAACAGCTGGTTACCTTTAAGGTGCAGAAAAGCCTTGTGGATTAGTATCCCCTGGCAGCGAAGCCAATGTATTCTTATTTGATTATAAATCGGATGCATTTCCAATCAATTGCAGTGCTTTCCTTTGGGAACTTTCCCTTCAGAGGCAGACCCATATGTGCTGATAGTGAGGCAGACGGGCCAGAACACTTCTCCTCTGTCGCGGCTCAGGTGCCTTTCCAAGGGCCCAATGCCAACATTCCTGCATGCGCAAAGAACGCTGGACGCATTCCCGGCCTTTCTTTCCCTTTTACACCCATAAAGTTTTCTTCTTGAAAGCATTTTGTCCATTTCTGGCACAGCAGTGTGGCTCCATCCGTGGATGTGGAATGAGGGAGCAAATGACATCATTTGCAAGAGGCAGGTGGGGGAAGCTGTGCTAAGTCCTTGGTGCACGTTTAATATTGATTTGGACAGGCGAGGTAGAGTTCTATCCACACGTTGGACAACATGGCTATTGATCTGATCTTCACTATCATCTTCTCATAAATGGTTTTGTACTTTTCAGGGTCTGGCACCCTCTGCCCCTCTCCCCTGCACCCATGTTCTCCCATGCTCACTCTTCATGACCACTTTTGTTCTGGGCCTTAGGATCAGATCTTAATTCTCCGCCAGAGCCTCCACTCTCTCCAGAGCTCTGCCTCCTTCTGTCTTCACACAGTGGGTGTGGCTGCTCCTCTTCCTTTCCTGGTTGAACTCCAAATCCCCTCAGCCTCGCAGATGTGTGGCTGCTCCTGGACCCCTTCATCTCTGAACAGTGTCTTCTCTATCAG